CCCCAAAACCCCAAAACCCCAAAACCCCAATATTTTTAGAGTATCAAAAAATTAAAATAATTTAAAAATAACTCTTGTCTCATATGAAAAACCCAGACTTCAAGTTGCGTGGATCCCCTCTAATCCCTCACATTCCTTCCCGAAGTGGTGCAAATTCAAAATCGATTTACTGCTGCCGTACTCTGAGTAAGCCCTACTAATTGTCATAAATTAAAAATAGTTTGTTTTTCATTTGACCTTTAAATCTTGATTCTAAAACTCTTAACTTCATTCTAGAGCGGAAGAAGTCCAGGTTCAATCGACATGAATACGTACAGAAATAGTAAGTTCCAAGTCCTAGCCTGTAGAGATCAAAGAAGACTTTATGTACTCGTTCGAGGCCCTTTGCGGTTACTCGAAGTTCCTCACTGAGATGTACGGATATGATAAGTACGTCTCCCCAGTTATCCTGTAGGAGCTACGTCAAGAATAAAAATGATGTTGAAGTAGACACATTTTATATGAAAGGTCAGTCCACCTCTCTGTGCGCTAATCTCCGATAGGAGCTTTAGAAGCCATCGGTTGTTAATTTCTCAGTACATGTGACTTCGTCTGAAATGGGACTCTTTAGTCCTCCCTATCAGCATTATCTTTAGTCAATTTAATTCTGAAATTTTAATAGACAAAAACATCGAGCTGAAGCTGATGGACACTATTCTATTCAATACAGAGTCTAAGACGATGTTTACACCTCAGAAATGGATTTTCACAGACTTAATGGGCAACTTACACTATAAGGACCTGAAATAACCTGAATCTGTCTAACATAATAAAAGTATTTTTCATTAACTCGAGTCTTGGCAAGAATGCCTTCGAATACTCAAATGAGGGTAAGATCAGTATCCTAATTTCTAGACTTAATGGAGTTCATCCAGAAATAACAGCCTTGATTCCATTGCTCTGGTTATGAACAAGTAGGTAGTCGAAATATGAGCTGTAGGAATAAGAGATATTTCTTGAATGTATCAGACTTCTCTACAATAAAAAATAAGTTTCCTGAAGGAATAGATGCCTTACAGCTGTTCAGAATACCTACGAGAAAACACCTGGGGTCCTTCTTTTGTGTCCAATATTCCAAGAGGAACTGAAACTTCTTTACGATGGACAAGGTCAAGCTGCACCGTCTCCTGACTATCAAGAAGAGGTAACTTTGATGAATTATTTGTAGTAAGAAAATGCCTATTGAAGAACGGACCAAGAATATCGTGATCTTTAACTACTTCAAGCGTGCTTTTAAAAGCCAGAAATATTTCCAACTTACTGAACAAGAGCAGGACCATATCCAATCGAAGAAGAAGGATCTCAATGCCAAGGTAAGGGTTGTTAATAATTTTAGGTAACCAAAGTGGTTAGAGCTATTGAGACTACTAAAGATAATATTGTGCAAAGCCTAACTTGTATCTTCCTTCTGGAAGAGAATATGAGCACCTTCTGGTACGTTACAACAGAGGACATCAATGTGTGGGATAAGAAACCAACGAGGATGAAGGTATACTCTTGGTTCTGACTAAATATAGAGCGCTATTCCCAAGGTCCATAAGACAAAAAGTAACTTTCAAAGCAAAGCAGCGGGTAATTCTTTCGGTAATCTTATAGCTAATGAAACCACTTACGAAACCAATGTTCCTCAATTTGAAAACTACGAACTCAATAGGAAGAATCTCCAGACTCAAGGGAATGAAATCTCTGATGCTTATGTAAGAAATCTTGTCTAAAATATAGAATCTGCTTGGCAACTGAGAAAGTATAGAATATCATTTGGTCTAACACCTCTATAGAAGACTCTCACAATGACTCAAAAAGCGAGACTAGAGAATCGATGCAGGCAAAGATTAACGAGAAGAACTACCAATGTTTTATGGTCAAACCCAAAGGACAGCAAAAAGATAGCAAAAAGTCTTCAATAGAAGACCTATTAGGCATCACCAGGATGGATAAGAACAAAAGTGGTTCTGAGCTCTATCTCAGTCGCCGGAGTGAGCTAGAAGTCTATCGCTCATACTCAAATGAGAAACCTAGTAGAGCTCAGGGCTATATAAAGAGATGCTACTCTTCTAAATCTCAGAAGAGAAAACAAAGCATTCACAGAAGGAAAAAGGCTCATAGTAGACTCAGTATCAGGAGAAATAGGGTCCTACAGAACTTGAACAAGAGAGATGCGTGGAAAGAGAAGAACAAAAGCGTGTCTCAGGTGTATCCAGAGTCCTTTCCTACAGGAGTTAGGAGGGAAAAGCACATAGGAACATCTGACAAAGGGATGAATACTATTTCAATCTCTCAGAACCCGTACCGGCCAACAACATCGAAGAAAAAGAGTTCAAGGAAGAGTTCTAAGAAGACTTCGATACGTAGTTCAATAGCAGACCCAAAGATCAACCTTCAGCTCAAAAATGGGGAAATCTTTGAAAAGGAATACACAATCAACGATCTCAACGACAATGATGAGATTGATTTAGTTCATGAAAGAAGCACAATAGATATTGCTGAGGAGCCAAACATCTTAGAGAAAATAGAAGCTCATAATGAGTACCTAATGGACTTAGAGAAGGACACCTCTGAATATGTCATCATTGATAGAAGGAAGAAGTCTAATATGAAGATCAAAGGCTCCTTATTTAACATCAATATTAGAGAAAATAACCACTCTGCTAGTTTCATCAAACATGATAGGGATAACTCAGGAGGTACAGATTATGCTAAATCCATAGGTCTCACAATCAATGATTCAAAGTTTAGAGAGAGGATGAACATGTCAGGAGGGATGAGGAGAGCAAGAAGAGATAGTAAAGATAGCGTATACTCAAGCCATATCCCTTCTTCTCTTAAGGGAGCTCTTAGCACGTATTCCAAAAGACCTCAAACCTCCCATTACAATACAAATGAAATATAATGTTTCCAAGTAACTCTTCTACTAAGGGGTTTTGGGGTTTTGGGGTTTTGGGG